TATGTCAGACATTATCAGTTTAATGTTGTAGTCCGGGTCGACTTGCAATTTTGGAGCGATTTCACTAGCTATGATCTTGGCCGTTAGGATCCTGTCATCTCGAGCCGTGTTAAGATCCTCCCTACAACTGTGATGGGGTTGATATTTTTTTACTTTCCATTGTTTTGTCTGCAGCCCTTCTCCTTCTTGGAGGTGCCAAATGCAAACTGTTGGGTATATGCAAACAGCCTTCCGTGGTCTTTTGTCATCCGTTTTGAAAAAATGAAATTGTCGAATGTTTTCTCTCGTCACCGCTTCTTTCAGTGCATCATATGAAGGGTAAATTGCGTCGACTTCGATCCTTTCAGGCTCAGAATCTATCGGTTCAACATATGAAGAGTATATAAAGATGTGGAGCTAGAAAAACCATACGAAGAGTACATATAGATGTGGAGCTAGAAGAATCATATGTTGAACCGATAGATTCAAAGTCGGCGCAGTTTACCCTTCATATGATGCACTGAAAGAAACGGTGGGGAGAGAAAACATTCGTCAATTTCTTTTTTCCAAAACGGATGACAAAAGACCAAGGTCCTGGAAGGCTGTTTGCATATACCCGGCTGTTTTCACTTGGCACATCCAAGCATGAGAAGGGCTGCAGGCAAAAGTTTGATATCTGTGTTGGATATTAAAAAGCTTGGAATTGACGCTTGATCGCTCTGGAGCGTAAATTCGATAATTGGGAGGTGTCATATAATGAACTTCCTATACTGTTTTCAAATCCGGAGAGTGTTGTTCATTTCCAATCACAACAGACCGGCACTCCCGATACATCTGAATTCCGCCGAGTGTTCTGGTCATTCAAAGCTTTTATAGACAGTTTCAAATTTTGCTTACCCGTAGTCTCGGTTGATGGCACTCACTTATATGGAAAATACAAGGGGGTTCTTCTAGTTGTGGTAGCCATGAACGCTAATCGTGAGATATTTCCTCTTGAATATGCTGTTGTTGAGAGTGAGAATGCTGACAGTTGGTCGTGGTTCTTTGCAAGGGTTATGCGTGATGTGGTTGGAAGTCGTCGTAGTGTGTGCATTATGTCCGATCGTCATGCAGGAATTGAAAGTGCATTTAGAGGCTTGTCGGAGTTGCGATTGCCACAAGTTTCAAAGCGTTATTGCCCCCTGTCACATACGGAATAATTTCATGACAAAGTTCAGGAACATGGAATTGAAAAAATTTTGTTGGCAAGCCGGTAGCACTCCCACAGTACAAGAATTTCACGACTGTATGGAATAAATACGAGGCATAAATGAGAAGGCCTTTATATATTTGAATGAGATTCCTATTGAGATGTGGGCCTTTAGCTATGACGATGGACAAAGATATGGCATTTTGACGATAAACCTTTTTGAAAGTTTTAACAATGTCTTAAAGGGATGTCACACATTGCCTATCACCACACTAATAACTGACATATTCGATAAAATCGTCCAACTATTTGCATATCGACGAAATGCGGGAATAATGTGACAGCAAGCTGGATTCTTGTAGCCACAGAACATATGGAAGGATGTTCTTGAGCGGCCACAGCGTAGGCATCACACAACTATTGTCCTGCACAATCGAACAACGAGAATTTACTTCGTAGCATGATCTAGTGAAACTCGATCTTACAAGGTGGGAATGTGGGTGCGGGTATTGGAAGCAAAACGGGATGCCATGTGTTCATGCATATGTGGTTTGTCGGTTTTTAAAAATAACCGTAGACGACCTCATCCCAGCTGTGTATTAATAATTAATAATTACTTCAATGTCATGGCAGAAATACCGTATATCATTCTCCCACCCACATACAGTAGATCCGCTACAACAGGCAAGCCACAAAGAACAAAGATTTACTAACGAAATGGATCTGCGTCCAAAAAGGAGAGGACCCGAGTAATTTTGTTATGTATAATATGTTGGATATTCTTTATTGCATCCAATTACTAATGAAATATTGGTTCTCATTTACATTGTGTCTGAAGTTTTTGTTCACATAATTATAATAAAATAAAATATAATAAAATAAAACTTAATCATACAAAATTTAATCAGATAAATATTTACAGATCAATTTTAATCAGTTAAATTTAATCGGAGAAATTTAATCAGATAAAATATAATCAGAAAAATATTATTCAAATAAAATATAATCAGATCAAATTTAATCAGATAAATATAATCAGATATAATTTTATCCGATAAATATAATCAGATAAATTTTATCAGATATAATTTAATCAAATTCAATATTCTGTCCGACCACATCTGTACAAAAATAAAGTCACCCAAAATTCAATACTGTACCTATCCGAGCTGCACGAAAATCAATACTCCTACCTAACTACACAAACACAAAAGGATGAGGATGAATCGCTATCCAACGGTTGCAAACAAAAGATGAAAGGCACGGATTACAATCGAGTGACTTACCGCAGTCGGAATTCCCAAACCCGACAAGGAAGCAAACACACAACCTCCAGTCACGACACAATCGAGTGGTAAGTTGTCATTATAGTTACTTCAATTCTATACTCAGAAATTAAAGTACGAGATTTGCATTGGTGATCAAACATTCCAGCTACATCCCACACCCAAATTTGCAGGTTACTTATTATGCACTCTATTCTTATTAATTTTAAAATTTTAAATTTAGATTCTGAAATTGGAAATTTAGAGTTAAATTTAGCTATGAAATTCTACAAATTTAGAAATTGTGTTAAATATAGAATTTTAGTTAAATTTCGAATTTAGGACTTTAGAAGTCGTTATTTTAGTAGGTTTTAAAATTTTAAATTTAGATTGTGAAATTGGAATTTTAGAGTTAAATTTAGATATGAAATTCTACGAATTTAGAAATTGTGTTAAATTTAGAATTTGAGTTAAATTTTGAATCTAGGACTTTAGAAGTAGTTATTTTAGTAAATTTTCAAATTCTAAATTTTGATTGTGAAATTGGAATTTTAGAGTTAAATTTCGCTATGAAATTCTACGAATTTAGAAATTGTGTTACATTTAGAATTTAAGACTTTAGAAGTAGTTATTTTAGAGTTAAATTTCGAATTTAAGACTTTAGAAGTAGTTATTTTAGCTATGAAATTCTACGAATTTATAAATTGTATTAAATTTAGAATTTTAGTTTAATTTTGAATTTAGGACTTTAGAAGTAGTTATTTTAGTAAATTTTAAATTTAGATTGTGAAATTGGAATTTTAGAAATTTCATAGTTAAATTTAGCTATGACATTCTACGAATTTAGAAATTGTGTTAAATTTAGAATTTTAATTAAATTTTGAATTTAGGAAGTTAGAACTAGTTATTTTAGTAACTTTTAAGATTTTAATTTTAGAGGGTGATATTGGAATTTTAGAGTCAAATTTATCTATAAAATACTTGAAGGTTAGAAAGTGTGTTAAATTTAGAATTTGACTTAACTTTCGGTTTTAGGAGTGTAGAAGTGGAATTTTACACTTTCCAATTTAGGACTTTAGAAGTAGTTATTTTAGTAACATTTAAGATTTTAATTTTAGATGGTGAATTTAGGACTTTAAAAGTAGTTATTTTAGTCATTTTTAAATTTTTATGTTAGATTGTTAAATTGGAATTTTAGAGTTGAATTTACCTATAAAAATCTAGAAATTTAGAAATTGTGTTAGATATTCAATTATAATGAATATAAATGTTCATATGTTTTAAAATTATATTTCAGTAGGATTTCAAATGGATCAAGGAATTCCGCGCCCAGGACCTATTAATCGTTCACTACTCACGTTGCCACCGAATTCCCATCGTGCGGACCGTATGTGGTATGAATCAAATTCCATAGACTTGTACTTGAAGAGCGTCAGTTTCCCTTCAGCTGCATTCGGAGATGAAGTGCGAGATAAAAGAGTGATAGAAAAGTTACACGATGTTGGGTTCTTGGGCGTAGAACACATTGCCCGTTCAAAGGTGGATCACAATTTAATATGCGCTTTGGTGGAGAGATGGAGGCCGAAGACACATACTTTCCATTTTCCATTCGGTGAGGTAGGCATTTGTCTACAAGATGTGGCGATCGTGCTTGGTTTGTCCATTCGGGGTATGCCCCTCAGTGGTTCAACCGTTCAGGGTAAGGCTCAGTGGATCACCATGTGCACGCAGTCGTGTGGGTTCACACGAATGTTACCAAGATGCGTAGTGTTACCTGTCGCCCGCTCCTACCCGACAATACGGACGAAGAGGCCACCCTGAACACTAGGACCCTAATATGGCTATTGCTTGGAGGGTTTTTGTTCCCTGACACAAGTTCGACAAGAATACGATTGTACTTTTTGGAGGTCTTGCAGGGTGAGTTGGCTTTAGCCCGTCGATTGAGTTGGGATCAGTGGTGCTTGGGTACCTCAGCCATAACTTGTGCAACGGCACCCAGTGGGAGACCAAACAATTTGGCGGTTGTATGCACATGTTCCAGATTTGGGCTTGGGTGAGGATTTCGATGATCCGTCCCACAGTATTTCGGGTCATTCAACATGACCGTCTTCCATATGGGTACAACTATGTTGACAATTACATCTTAATAACTGAGAATGTTTTATATGACGTTACATTTTTTAACTTCATATTGGTAATCAGTAAATTTAGGTGGATCGTCCCCAAGTCATATAAGCGATCCCCAACACACAGCCTACGCTTGTACCGAGACAAATAGACCGCATCAGTGAGAGTCAGGTAGTACTTGGAATTTTAACTTCAACTGTACTATTCAATTTTCAGTACACATTGTTTTCTAGTTATTAAATTGCAAATTAAACTTTTTACAATATGACTGAGATGCATTACCCTGATCGATTTCTTCGGTAGTTCCATATAAGGCAAGATATTTCGAAAAAACCCTTTGCAGGGTAATGATCATCACACCATTCGTTCCAACATATCACCCGATGCCTTGATATTGTGGGCAGACCTACATAATCATATATATTATCTTGATTATGAACGACTTACGTCCCTCGAAGCGAGTGATAGGTACCGTCGATGGTACAAGCGGTATGGGATGACACGTGTGCAGAACTCTTCTCACAATGTGCCCGTGACAGGCTACACCCCAACAACACGCGAGGGTGGTCTTTTCGTAAGTTTTTGAATGCATACCATATTTATTTTGGATGAAATGTAACATATACATTAACATCCAAAGAAATAACAAGTTAATGTTACAAGAAAAGTGCATATCCTAATAAATGGGATACCACAAAATCAAGACTATTGTCCTCACAGTCAACATATTGAAAAATCGGAAAGGAGTAGTGAACTTTGAATCAAAGCAAACCTTCGTAAGTGGTATTCGTAAGTGAATGTCGGAGAGAGGTGAATGTCAGGCCCTTCCTATCCAAATCATCCGTAAGTCGGAGAGAGGTATCGACTCTAACCACACTAGCATGCACAAATTTAAAAGGTTTGACAACTAACTTGAGCGTCTTACCTTTTATTACCTCACATTTGACGACACCATCAATTTGCTTCACATCACTTTCATCCGTCACAATCCTTTCAACATCTTCCAAAATAACCTCGGAGTCTTTAGCATGTTAGAACGTCCCTGGGCAGCTGGCATGGTCACAGAAGACCCCTGGGCATGTTTCTGCCCTGCAAACCCGATCATGTGTGCATCCGAGCGGGTAGGGAGCAGGCTCAGGCTCCTGGGCAGCAGTCAATGTAGTTTTTTCAGTATTTTCAGGGGACCCGGTCGGGCCAGGGGAATACCCGGTCGGGTATCCCTGAGCAGCAGCTACTGGCCGACTATCCACCATTCCAAAATCCTCAATTTTGTCATAATTTTGTTCTTTCTCCCTTTCTTCATCAACCCGTTTGACTAGCTTATTACAAATAAAAGGGTTGTGCCCATATTCCTCACAATGAAAACAATAATTAGGAAAAGTTTCATATAATAACTTTGTTTGATTACCTTTTGGGAAGGTAGTCATATAAGAAAACATAGCGGTGGTGGCTTTGAAACATCAACTTCTATTAACACTCTAGCAAACCTCTCTTGAGTGATCTTGTCCGTAGTTATTGGGACCCCAACCATAGAGACTACCTCACTCATAGCCTCATCATTCCATAACTTCATTGGTAATTTAGGAAACTTAACCCAAATTAGTATCTTTAGAAATTCTTCATCCTCAAAAGAGAAATCTTCTGAGTATTTTTCGAGCATTAGGAGTTTCCCAAAAGCGGTGTATGATCCCTCATGTAGTACCTTCATTCTATCCTCTTCACTTTCGAATTTGAAAATTATCCAACCCCTATTGTGGGACCTCCCTAGACATTTCACACCCCACTTAGTTTTCATGTCATGAATCACTTTGAGTCCGGAGAATTTTCCGGTGAAGTGTCCAACTAGACAATGGTCCCACATTTCAACCATAGAGGGTAAAACTTGACCACCAAAGTCCAAAATTTCTCCTTTAGGAGGGACCGCCATGCCTTGGGTCACGATCCCAGGTTGTTTTTGCTGAGGCTCAATCTGCCCAATTTTCAGGCCTGAATCAGTCGCAGCAGGTGTAGTTTTGATAGCCCCAGCTTCTTCCCCATTCATATTGACACTCATTCCAGCCTCTATTACAGTTACAGTAGGTGAGACTTCCCTTTTAGCACGTGAAATTTCAGCAGCAGGGATTCTTTTCTTTGTCTTCTTCGCGGGGATGCCGGACAGCAGCAGGGATTCTTTTCTTTGTCTTCTTCGCGGGGATGCCAGACAGCAGCGCAGGGAACTCCACATCTGAGTCCTGAAGTACTGAGAAGGTGGACCTGGTAGTCCTTGCCCTGGACGCATTCCCCAGTCCCCGTACTTGTTTCGCAGACATGGCAGACGCCCAAAACAGCAAAATCGAAAATGAACAGTAGCGATTTCGAACTTCGTATTTCCTCTAGGTTAAAATTCAAGAACGGAAATCACAGTAGGACAAAAATGCAATTCTAATAACAGCAAAGTATCAGATTAGAAACCAAGAAACATCGTTCGAAGTTCAACGAATCGGAAAAACGATGAAGCTCATGAATAGTAACCTTCGTACTTTGTCTTCTATTTTTTCAAAATTATACCTTAAAATCTCATTCCAGTTTCAAATAAAACTAGCGAGAAACACGATTAAACACTCAGAATTCCCAGAATCGACACCTTCATCATCGCAAAAGAACTGGGACAATTTTTCCCAGGGGAGAGAAGTTTTGGTAGGTATAATTTATTCGGGCCTTATGCATACCATATTCATTCACATATATCATGTGATATTATTTACACGTGTTCCATTTTCATGCAGAAGCAAGGTGTTCACGATGTGTATCAGCTCGTCACCAACCAGGCGAGTTATGAGGACATTAAAGAATGGCTACAATGGTTGGCCCTGGGTGTAGGTGATAAAGAGATGCTCCACCGGGGCATATCTCATTATAAAGATGGAGATGAAGTGGAAACGAGCAAGAGGATGATGCAGATGAAAATGAAGGTGGGGATGAGCAATCACAACCGCCCCCTAAATTCTCAACTCATCAAGGTATCTCATTTGATCAACCACCGTCGAATTAAGATTCTTATCACTACTCCACACATACGGATAACTTTGTTTCCTTATTTCTGGATTCATCATTTTACCATGGAGACAGAATGGGGGCTTGGAACACTGGCGGCGGGGACGGAGCAGGACCGATCACACAACGTTAGATGTAGTATTAAATTTATTATTGTATGTACTATCTATTTATTAATAAATTACATTGAAAACTACATTTGTATTTTTCACTTCCATTAAAATTACAAAAATTGCATTTAAAACAAAATCAAATTTGTATCTCATTTTATGAATTTTATTCACAATACGGATGGATTAAAAATTAATACTCCCTTCGTTCCTAAATAAACTTCACACTTTCCATTTTAGGTAAGTCCAAAATAATCTTCATACTTGTTTTCCCTTCCTTATTTGACAAATTATCTACATCAAAACAGTGCAAAACAGTGCCAACCAGTGTCAAGCAGTTCCAACCAGTGTCACAACAGTGTACTCTACAGTAAAGTCAAATTTATTTCCTTAATTTGTGTGAAGTCAAAGTGTTAAGTTTATTTAGGACCGGAGGGAGTATAAAGTAATCAATGATTTGATATTAAAAAAATCAAACTCCATATTTTCATTTTAAAAAATATAGACGGTATTACTACAAATAAATAATAAACTTAACTATACTACAAATAAATAATAAAATACTAAATTTAAGCTTAAAATACAAATAAATAATAAAAACCGTGCAATACAAATAAACAAACAGTTAAACTAAAAAGGGTCGGATTAGGGAATTCCGACTGAAGTTAAAAAAAATTATGTGGTCGGATTAGGGAAATCCGACATGTTGAAACCAAAATTTTATCACACCCTTCCCAGCCTTCCGACTCCCGTAATATGGGAAACCCTAATTTTTTCCCCGCAAATTGGCAACGCATGTTTGGGTTTCCCCTATTTTGGTAAAAGACCCTGTAAATGTAATATTCAATATTTAATACGCAGTATAAGGTATTATCAAGTTTGTGATAATGTTTATGTTTAGGTAATAAAAGTCATTCTGCCTTTATTCATTCACTGTATGGTGTATATAGTATGATTGACAAAACTAACGCAAAAGATACTTTTGTGAGCTTTTTAATTAGTGATAATTTGCTTTAGTTTTCGTAATTGAAAATATCTTAAAAGAGAAATGTGTCTTATTTGTTTATATCCGTATATACAAATCATATTACATAGTTCAGCTTATGAAAGATAGATTAAACAATGACATCACAAACTAAGTGACAGTCAATCTCGATATGTTTTTTGCATTGCGCTCGTTAAAGACTAGGTTTTGAGAAATATAAAGAGCAGATTGCTATCACAACATGATAGAGTATTAACTCCTAGATTCTAGAGAGAAGTGAGAGCTAGAGAGAGAAGTGCAATAATATGCTTCAATAGAATGAATTTGTAACCCCTATAACTACTCCCAAGGGGAGTATTTATAGAGAAAATTAGGGTTGGGCTCCCAAGCCTTGGGCTTGGGAGGCCCATTTACAACTGGACCGCTACTGGGCCGAATACAAAGCCTCTAATGGGCTGTACAAATGAGTAAGTATAGGATCCGATTCTGGGAGGTCTTCGTGGCCGACGAGGGCACGGCCGACGAGGGCACCCGAGTCCCTCAGGCTCAGGACCGTAATCTGAGTTGGCACCTTTTCGTCCGACGGGGGCGTCATGGCCGACGAGGGCGCCACTCTGTTGTCTTGTGCTATGTTCTTCCGAGTATGTGGGTCCTGGGGCTCAGACCCATATACTCCATCAGGAGTCCCCCACTCTCTAAGCTGAGACGTAGACGAAGTGAAGGAGAGTAGATTTCTGTGCTTTGTTGCTTTTGGCCGACGCGGGCATTTCCAGGCCGTTAGCCGTTGCAGCGTTGGCGTTGTTTCCTCTTTGGTGATCCTGTTCCTCGCTGTGGGCGGGGAGGCCGTTGAGGTCGTTCCTTGCTTTGAGGACGATGGCCTCATTTCCTTTGCGTGGCCGTTGCTGGTTGGCCTTCGTGTTTTTGGACGAGGAGCCCGTCAAGATCAATTGTTGGCGGAGGGCGATGAGTGTCCTTGTCTCTAGTGGCTTGTTGGCCGTTGCTAGTGACGTTATGGGCCTTTGGCCGATGAAGTTCCGTTGTGCTGTATGGACGATGTGGCCATGCTTTGTGGTTACCTTGTTTATACTCTTTGTTTCGTTGAGGCCGGTGTAGTCCCCCAGTCCCTCACTGCTTCAGGCCGAAGAGTGTGAGGGGTGAAGGAGTTGCTTGAGTCCCTGGCCGAAGCGGTCTCGCCGGAATCCCCCTGAATCCAACTCTCATGGCGATTTTCTGGCCAAGGTAAACCCTGTGGGAGAACCCTTGTGCGCAGATCGCTTGTAGAGAGTTATCATCAAGGGTTATTACGAGGAGCCGAAGGCTGTGGGCTATTTGTCCCCTTTGTTCTGTGGCCGTTACGTTCCTGGCCGTTGCCGTCCACTTATTGTCTGGCATTTGTGATTGGCAAGCAAATGGGACGTTGTGGGCGCTTGCTGTCAGTTGTAAAGCCGTTGAGCGTGTGTAGGCCGTAGAGTCTGATTTGCCAGTGGGCCGTTGATATGGGTTGGTCCTGGCCCGTTGGTGACGTGGTGGCCCCCTAGTGGTGGCCGTTGATGTGGCCATTGGGGGAGTGCCACGTGTAGTGACCGTTGGTGGGGGGGTCTATAAATACTCCTTCCCCTCCGACGAAAAATCACGTTTGCATTCTGAATTTGTCGAAGTGCTGGCCGATTTTCTAGAGAGAGAAACTCCCAAGCCTGTTCTTCGTGTTCTTCATTGTTTGAGGTTAGTGTTCATCACGATCTTCCTCACTTTTCATATTTTGCTCGTAAGTAGTTGATCTAGTGTTAGGCATCTAAACACCTTTAGGTCGTAAGTTCTCCGTGAGCCCGTAGTAGTAGTGATGAAGAGCTTGAACGACGACTACTACCCCTACGATGACCAGCCCTCCACGAGGTCGCTTGACTACGAGGTGCTCGAGAAGTTTGAGGAGGAGATTGAGCGTTTAAGTCCATACAAGTCCGCGGAGCTGATGGACGAGGAGGGCGAGGACGAGGAGTCCGCATCCTCTTCAAAGGGTGAGGACGTAGATGCGTCCCGAGTGGTGGACGGGGCGTCCACTTCTGCTGTCATTCCGTGCCCGAGGCCGGTGTCCGCCGTTAAGGGAGCCGCCAAGCCGAAAAGAGTGAGGAGGCCGAAGAGTGGGCCCGGCGTCTCCTACTTGGATCTCACCAACATCTACCTGATAAAGCCGGAGAACAGTGCGGCCGACTATCTGGTTGCCCAGATGTACGTGGGGCCGTTCGGGCGGGTTAGGGCGCCCAAGCCGACGGACCATGTTCTTCTTCCACCACCGGGATACTTTGGAGTATACACGATGAGTTTTGCTAAGGGGTTGAGGTTTCCTCTTCACCCTTTCATTACTGAGTACCTGGATATGGTAGGGCTTCCTCCGGCCTTGCTGACGCCGAACAGCTACTCCTTGATGGTGGGGTTCTTGCTCCGGTGTGAGGAGTTGGGCTACAAGCCGACAACGGCATTATTTATGAATCTGTACCAGATAGGCCGAGGAAGCCACAAGAACTGTGCGGCCTACGCGACTCTTCAGCAGCTGCCGAAGAAGAGGAGCTTCACGGATTTGCCCACGTCCATTCATGGGTGGAAGAGCAAGTTCGTGTTTGTGTCCATTGGCGAGAGTGGCACCGAGTTTCCCTCCCTCGGCCACACCGGGAGATTTAATCTGCATGACCCGCCGAAGAGCTCTATTTTGGACGCTCAGGTGGAGGCTTTCCTGGAGGGGGGGCCGAGGAGCGTGAAAGATTACATCACTGAGTACAAGATGGCCGCCCTCGGCTTCGTGAGGTACTACGTTTATGGTGACAAGGAGGATGACCTCCAACTCTGGCCGAGGATGACCACCACCTTTGAGGAGGCCGACGGCCCGGACTTGGGCATTCCTGCTGAGGCCGATGGTAATTCCTTCTTCGGCTTTCTGTCTTTATGTTTTGTCCTTTGCCTTACTAATGTGCGTGTTTTTCCCTTGTAGATTTTGTCATGGACCGCCGTTCCATGATGGCTATTGCGAAGGCCAAAGCGGCCGAGGAGATTGCTGCTAAGGCGGTCGAAGCGGCCCGACGTGCCGCTGCTGGTGGGAGCGGGGCTACTGCAGATGCGGCCCCAAAGCCTGCCCCATCCAAGAAAAAGAGACCGGCCACTGACGGCCAGAAAAAGCTGACCGAGGCCGGCGTGAGCGTTTCTAAGAAGACGAAGAGGGCTCCTTCCCCTTCTCCGGCCAGTGAGGCCGGTACGCTTACTGTCCCCAGCGTGGGCGATGGTGGTCCCGTCGTGGACCTTACTGTTGCTGGTGATGCCGCCCCAGCGCTGCCTCTCGTCCAGGAACCACGGACGAAGAGGGCCGGCAAGGAGATCGCCGGTGACACCTATCAGAAAGTGATAGAGTACCCCGTCGGCGGGGGCGTGTTTAATGAGCTCGTCCCCGGCCACGTCGTCCTTGCCAAGGCCATGCCGGCCAAAGATCGGGCTCATTTGAAGAAGCTCGAGGACCCGAAGATTTATGAGGGCGGCATGGATCTTCTCGTCCAAGTAAGTGATTGTCCTTATACTCTTGTCTCTCTTCGTCTTATGTAGAGTTTTGCCTGACCTTTGTTTTTCTTATGCAGAGTGCCTTCATGCTTATGGAAAGCCATAAGAGGCAGTACTGGGAGATAGTCCGCCTGCAAGCGCTGGAGCAGAAGGCCGCCTCGGCCGACGAGGCGGTAGCTTGCCTTGACCGGCTCCGGGAGGATGCCAAGGCGCTGCAGGCCAAAGCTGATGAAGCCGTCGCGGCCAGGGACGATGCCCTTGTCAAGCTTGAAGAGAGCAGAAGGGAACTTGCGGAGTCCCGCAGGGCGCTTGAGGCCGAGAAGCGCAGGAGCGAGGAGGCTGCCCAGGCGAAGGCTGAGGCCGAGGCCGCCGTCGTGAAGGCTGTCGATGAGGCCGTCGAGAAGTTCTTGGCCGAGGGGTGGAAGGCCGATGAGAGGCTGCCCTGGTGCTACGAAGTGGTGGCCGCCAGGCTGGAGAATTGGGGGATGAACTCCCCTGCCGGTCGGGAGTATTTCAGCCAGGAGATGTCCGTTTACTACAACCTGGGCCAGGAGCGGATGCAAAGGCTCCTGTATCGGCGGCTATCCCGGGCGTTGAAGGCCATGAATTACACGGCTGGATGGGCTAGACGGAACCTGAAGCTCCCAAAGCTGATGAAGGATCCTGAAGAGCAGGCCTTGCTTCCGCTGTCGGAGCGGGAATCCCCCATAGAGAGCTCCGGCCTTGGCGAGCCGGATTATACCGAATTTGATTTCTTAGATGATGCCACCAGCGCCGCTGCCGGCCAGGAAGCTGAGGCCGATGAGGAGGGGGCCGACGAGGTTGAGGAGCCAGCCCCGGAGGCTTGATCGGCTTGTCCCTATTGTAGTTAGCTTTTCATTTGTTGCCAAATTATGT